TCACAAAATACCTGAATCTAGTGCTTGGTGGGTGATAACGAACCCAGCGCGGATTGGTGGATGATAACGGGCCCAGTGTGGATTGGTGGGTGATAATGGACCCAGCGCGGATTGGTGGGTGATAACGGACCCAGTGCGGATTGGTGGGTGATAACGGACCTAGTGTGGATTGGTGGGTGATAACGGACCCAGTGCGGATTGGTGGTTTTTTTTTCTATCAACAAATCTTCAGGTTAAGTTTATGATTTTCAGATCATTGGAGCTAAAGAAGTTTAACTTCAGTCTTGTGGTCATAAAGCACACACTAATGGACCCAGCGCGGATTGGTGGGCGATAACGGACCCAGTGCGGATTGGTGGGTGATAACGGACCTAGTGTGGATTGGTGGATGATAACGGACCTAGTGTGGATTGGTGGATGATAACGGACCCAGTGTGGATTGGTGGGTGATAATGGGCCCAGCGCGGATTGGTGGGTGAAGACGGAACCAGCGCGGATTGGTGGGTGAAAACGGAGCCAGCGCGGATTGGTGGATGATAACGGACCCATTGCGGATTGGTGGTTTTTTTTTCTATCAACAAATCTTCAGGTTAAGTTTATGATTTTCAGATCATTGGAGCTAAAGAAGTTTAACTTCAGTCTTGTGGTCATAAAGCACACTCGCTTTTGATTCTTTCTTTCAAAATTTTAAGAACCACTGATTTAGATCGTTTTTCACTTATGAAAAAAACTAAATCGCTCTTTAGTTACAACATTACCTACATTTGTATTTTTAAATGGTAAATACGAGTATAATCCTAAAATCAATCGCCATAACAACAAGCCGTCATATCATTTCAAATAACCGGTTCATCTCTGTCTGGCTGGCTTGCGTATTCAAATGTAAGGAAGTATAGAAATAACAGTCGCCCGTGCATAATTTTCACGCATCAATTAAATAACCGCTAATGTTATTATTCATATTTGCGATAAGGTTTATTTTGCCATGACAAAATTGAGTGGCACAGTGGAATCCTTACTTCAATACTAAAATAAATAAATATATAAATATTTCCAACACACACACCAATCAGCCTAGCCCCAAAGTAAGAAATATAAGGCTTGTGTTATGGGGATACTAGGGTAACGGATAGAAATACATATATAAATACATTTATATAGAAATACATATGAAACATCCATGACTAGAGTAAAAATGCTCGTATTCATCACATAAACATCTGCCCCCACCGGGATTCGAAACCGGGACTTTTCGAGAAGCGACACCTTGCAACCCGGCGTAAAACCGTCTAAAGTTTAATTGCGATTGTTAACAATATATTATATAAGTAGTTAATAAACTGTCTTTTGATCCAAGTTTTTTAATCTAGACATGACAAATCTGAAAAAGAGCGAATTATCTGGGTTACCCGAAAAATATCGGAAAGATGATTGACAAGTGATTCCTTCTATTTGATTCTTCTATACCATTTTTTATATAATGAAATGTTCAAAACATTGTCGACGTTTTATTAATAATTAAAAATGTATGAATGATAAAACTAGTTTTTTACGGGTTAATGCACGAAACTTTATTTATTTTTTAAAGTTTCGTGCATTAACCCGTAAAAAACTAGTTTTAATTAATGAGTGATGTGCGTGAAAACCTAAGAAACAAATATGTATGAATAATCAAACGCATTATAATAATATCAAGATATTGCGTACCGTATCGTAGAGTTTAAGCAAACAGATAATGAATTTTACATATGGCAATGACCCAGTTTCTTGTTGTTTGTCATAAAATCCTTTATGAACACCTATGGCGAACGAAACCTCTTTAAATATCATATATTTTTACATATACATGTGTATATATTACCAACTATAGTATCATCATCATCAGTATATTATTGTCCTCACTGCTGGGGCACAGGCCTTCCCTATGGATGGAATAGAGAGATAGGACCATGATCCACCACGCGGGCCTAGTTCGGATTGGTGGATGCTAACGACTGCAGATGCAGCCGGGATTAACAGCTTAACGTGCCTTCCGAAGCACGGAGAAGCTGCAGAGAGAGAGTTAGTTTATGGACTTAATATTGAATATAGAAATGGGGGATTTGCTTTAAAATATTAAGCTGTATCTTCCAGAATTTTATTTATGAGATTATTATTAGTTTTGAGATACAAATTTTTGGTCACCCATCCAATGACCGACCACTATGAAAGTTGGTTAACTACAACGATCACAGCCTAACGCGCAATCTACATCTATAGGATATAGCAAAATAATATCAGGATCATTTGCTTCACCGTAAAACAATAATTTATGTATAAAACCATGAAAATCAAAGTATATTTTCTTCCGGTATCACCATTTGGATGATTTATCCAATCCTCGTAAGGATCACATTATTACTACAGCTGTTGCTATGTATGAAGATGTGTGAAAAAAAACCATTGAGTCATTGCGTAGGTAAGCAAATATTATCACAATCACGTCGAGCCAAGCCACTGCGCTTACGCAGGAAGCAGATATCGAATATCAGCTGATAAGCAATATTGATAGGGTTTCCATATGTTTTGAGAGAAGTAGGCCATAAAGGATTTACCACTCGAATTGGAGCGTCCGTCTGGGGAAACAACATATCCACCTTAGAGAAGACCACAGTAATAACGCTACATTTTGGTGGTGTTGTGTTTCTGTCGGTATGAGCAAGGTTCCAGGGCTCCGCGGGGTAGAGGATTGGGTTCAGGCCAGCAAGGTGAAGCTGGGGCGGCACACTTTCTGAAGCATCATCTATCTTCGCGACTGGACTCCATTCTTACGTCTAACTTCTACGTCTTAATATAGGGGGGTGCAGTAATTTGCAGCGCCTCGTATAAAAAAAAAATGATAAGGTTTCCTTAAGTGAAATCTTTATGCTAAGATTTAGAAAGCATCCTACAAACCGGTAAACTAAATCTTTATGGTAGGATTTAGGAAGCATCCTACCAACCGGTAAACTTGTTCTCTAACTTGCTTGCGACTAATTTGAATTTATATTGAGCTCGTTTACTCACATTTTTCTGGGGAACTTCTTGAGTGAACATCGAAAGACACTTTCCGCTATTTTATTTCACTTGCCAACACTTGTGCATTTTCCCAAACACTTAGTGGTTAATAATCCACCACTATTAGACACTAACATCCGCCACAACACAATTTTTAAAAAGAAAAAGAAAAAGAAAACTGCTAACGTTACGCTTCCTGATCCCGCCAAAAAGACACTCACAATATTTTCCAATACCTATAAAAGAAATTGATAATCCTAGGTGCAGTATATAAAACTTGATACTTATATGTTTTGTTTTTCCAACGAGTTGCGACCATCACTATAATAAAAACTTTGATAACCATTTCATTGAAAACAATCCCGTATTTATGAGATTAATATTATCTTATTATATTTATCTTAAGCATTTAATTATGCATTAAGAAAGAAGCTCTTTATACGTCTCTTGTTAGAAAATGTTTTTTTTTCAGTTTTGTCCATCCAATTTTAAGTTTGTGTGGACTTCAGATGCCGCTTCAGACATTTTCACCTTGCCGGCCTTTGCCAAATCGCCTACCCCGTGGTGTTTGCCTGAAAACCTTGCTCGCTGACTTCAATAACACCACTAAATTAAAATGTTATTATTTCACCGAGGTCTTCAGTAAGGTGGGGTTACTTCCCTAGACGGGCGCTGTAATTCCTCACTTGCAATGCACTACCTTCCTTAGAGGTTTGTAAGACCTTTCTTACAAACCTCTAAGGAAGGTAGTGCATTGCAAGTGAGGAATTACATACTCCTTAGTATGTATTGTTTTATATATACTTTTATCAATATCTAGATGTAATCATACAAATACTATAGCTATTATATTTACCGAAAAATCACATTCCATCTTTATAAAGGCCTGATAAAATTTCAATGTCAGTGATACACTTATTATTTTGTTTTTTTATTATGCTTATAAAAATTAATTAACGAATGAATTGTTACTTTATCTTTAGTAAAGAGACAATAATTTTGGGAGAAATTTTGTTTTTGTTTTCCAAGTTTAGTGGAAATTCTCCTGTGGTAAATAATCGTGAGTACAAATAAATACTGTATTAAACGACAGTTCGATGTGACCAACGTTTGTGACTTTATGCTAAAAAAATATCCGGGCTTAACAATAGTGACCCATTGACTGCCTACTTCTTAGAATCGTTTCTGAAACCACTATATCCGTCAATAGGCATTTTTTATCTGCTTGGGAAAGTTTACAGCTGGCACATATTATTTATTTCTTACTCCCAGTCCTATACGGCAACAACTAGTGCTTATTTGGTTGGGTGTTTTTGTTAGAATAATTATTACAATTTATTTTAAAACGTTTAATATGTAGGTTCAAGTCCGTAACTTCTTATATGAAAATTATTAGCATTTAGCTTTAAAAAGAAGCATTAATAAAATAATTTACTCATTAATATTGGTGCTTTATGTTAAGCAGTTGGTCTTTTACGTAAGTGCCTATTTTTATCTCAAAATATCAAAAACGATCGTGCGTGCTATTAGTTATAAATCTACGGAAATGTCAAAAGACTTCCTACTTATTTATTTTTTCTTTTATAAGTTCACACAAGGATCACTTTACAGACAGGTCAAATATAAACTACTTAAGCTCAACTCAAGACCATAAAAAGATTTGAAATACAATCGTAGGTACCACTACACAAACGTCAAATTGGATACCTTGTGGATACCTTGGTTACGTTTACGATACGAAATCAAAAAGCGTTATAATGTCAAATCCAACCTGCCCACACGCCACTAATACATTTTGGTTACATATTATTTTTTTTAGAAATATTTTGTTAAATTTTTGTTTGTGGGAACACTCCCAATTAAATACACATTTACCTAAGTACTACTAAGCTAAGTATTTTTTTTTCTTCTGTTAGTTATGTTAATAATTCTGTATTCTGAGGTTAATAAAGGTTTTAACTCACTTGTTCGCCATGGCAGCTTTGCTGTTGTTTACACTAACACCTAAACACAGCCTTATGAGACCAGAACGTAAATAATAGTCAGTAAGTCAATATAGACGACGGGCGCGAATATGCACAACCAAGAAAAAAAATTAAAACTATCATCTAACCATTTTTACAACGAGCACTGGACATAAAAAACGGAGATGTTATCCTTTTAAAAAAGTTCGATTGTCACTTGGGATGTTTCGAATTTCCCGCGCGAATTTCAAATGTCGAACGGCAAGCGTCAAGCTATAGCGACGAACACGAACAGACTGCGCCTAAACGCGCGGCGTACATGCGATTTTAATACCGCGAAAATATATTAATACCTACGTATGAATCACTGTTGTGATCATCTTATTAACGTGTTTCAGGTCTTAACTGGCATATTTCTGTGAATGAAACGAAACAAACACATATTTGAAAAACACTCCAAATTCAAAGCCGTAGGAACACCCACCATAGCTTTTATTAGAGCAAACGTTCTTTTATACTTACAGATGTTTAATACGCTGATTTTGAGTATTATTTCCAAGTCATATTATAAAATTTTGCTACCTACTGTCGTTTTAATTACTTACCGAAAATATTTAAACATAAGGAAACCTTGACGTATCATGTATAAAAGAAAAAAAATGAGCCCAGCTGCTATCATAAAAACAAACAAAGAATTTTTGTATATAGGTGAATAGATAATTTATTATTATAACATTCCGTGATTATCAGATAGCGTCTGTCTCCGATTCTAAGATATAAAGGTTCCGTTTAAAACTACTTAGGTATAAAAAACATCTTTAGATTTAAACATCAAGCAGTTAAATGCTTAAAAAATAAAAATATAACTAATTGCTATTTCTTCTTCTAAATGTTTAATACTTGTAAAGGTATTTTGGTATTTATGTGACATTGTGGGTTACATACAGTATATATAATAAAGAAAATACGACACGGCCATCAGGGCAGGGGTAGCATAATGGTCAGTGCATTCGCCCGGATAGCGAAGGGTACGGGTTCGACTCCCGTCTGCTGCCTGGTCCAAGTGGATTTTTTTCTAGTTAACATTTTCTTTAGATTTAAACATCTATCAATTAAATGCTTAAAAGCCAATCCTATCATACCTAGGTATTTATTACTAATACGTACCTAAATATAAAAATAAATAATTCTTTAAAAAGCAACTAAGTTATATTATCGCTGTTAATAATAAATACCTAATAATATTTTTTTAAATAAATAAAAATAATTATAAGTATTGGTAGTAAATTAGTTTTATTGTTATGTTTAGTTATTGGTAACTATGTTCAATACACAAACAATACAGCGTACTTATGTAAGCCTTCAAAGTATAATTTGAAAACATTAATAATTTATGACTTTTTTAAGAATCATTGGAAATGTTAACCTTTGGTTACGCCTTTTTTTATAAAGCGACGTAGGCAAATGACTCTGCCCCACCTGATGTTAAGTGGTGATAAAGTCCAAACGCGAAGATAGCTGTTACAGCAGTTATAAACTGCCACACTAACCATCCTCACGTTGCCGGCCTGCAAAAATGCTTCTTTACGCCTTTCTTAAAGGATCCTAGATTGTAGGAAGGAGGGAACTTATTCATAACAAATTCTTAACTAATTTATTTTTTATAAGTTAAATAGATTATTTAAGGATTTATTATGATCGTTTTGAAAAATGTAGAAACATATTATAATAACATAAAGAAACGCATCGTTTTAAAGAAAATCTTTACTTATTTACTTATAACGCGAATACATAACAGGAAACATACTTCGAAAATTACCTTAATATTCCTGTTGACAAAAATATTTTTGAATTCAAAGAATTGGGTAATAAGGGCATAATTCCAGTTCATTGGAATATGTTTAATTCTAACTAATACTTAGCACAGATAATTATACGTTTACTAGTGGCCCGCCCCCGCTTCGCTTCGGTGTAGAGCTGTAGTGTAGAATAAGAATTATTCTCACCTTTTAAACCTTCCCTAGACCTCCACGAACATTTCAAGACCAAGATAAGATAAATCCGTTCAGCCGTTCTCGAGTTTTAGCGAGACTAACGAACAGCGATTGATTTTTATATACATACTAGCTGACCCAGCGAACTTCGTACCGCCCTAAAAAAAATAGGGGTTGTCCAGCGGACAAAATTGTGAATCTAAACCATTCTCAGATCCCCTTGAACACACACAAAAAATTTCATCAAAATCGGTCCAGTCGTTTAAGAGAAGTTCAGTGACATACACACTCACAGAAGAATTATATATATAAAGATATAGATATAGATTTACTAGCATATAATTTTGAACTCTTAAAATATTTTACGGGCTAAAACACGCACTAAATAAAGATTTTCAAGCCTTCTTTATCACGACTTTTCGACAACGCTTACGATTTTATATTGTTATTTCTAGCCGCCTGAGGTTTTCGAATACCTCACGCTCATTTTTTTTAATATTGTTATTACCAATGCAAAAGAAAAAGAAAGAGCGCGAGGCATTTGAATACCTCAGGCGGCCAGAAATAACAAAATAAAATCGTAAGCGTTAGCGTTTTCCAAAGCATTTCCGTTAGGCGATTGGCCCCCAGGTGTATCGTCTGATGCATTGCTTTTATGGGCCCCCGAGGCAATCAAGTCCACTTGACATGTCCTTTTTACCCGGCTGCGCAATGCAAGAGCGCGAAGCGCGACGCGCAGACAGGGTTATGTGTTTAACAGTCTATATATGTATGTTTGTTCCTTTGTGGCACACTAGAGACCAAACGCCTGGACCGATTTTGATGATTCATACATCAATCGATTCGTCTCAATCATGGGAGTGCTACTAAAGATATCATAGTAATCAAAATTCAATATGGGCAAAAATAGTCGCCATATTGTGACGAAGTAAAAAAAATAAGTTGACAAAATATGTCGAGTGGGGTATCACCGTCTAGATAATCAAAAATCATGTTTAGGTTCCTAACACTATTTTTCATTTTATGTGATTGTTTAGGATCTACAACGCTTTAAAGTTGTATATTAACCACTTGCGCTTTTAATTTCAATCTTACGTTTGTATGGATCTTTGTTACTCTTTCACCTAAAAATACTGAATGGATTTTAATGAAACTTAACAGTAATATAGCTCATATATGATAATTACATATATATAATAATTTATGTAGTTATTGAGTGAATTGGCCAATATATAACAATAAGGTGTCACGTGAGACGGAAAAAATCTCCCATCTGCGATCCATTTTGGCCTGCACTGCAAAAACAATAAAAGTTACATGAATATAATGTAGTGTGAAAATGTATCTCTTAAATAGTTCTAAAAAAAAGTCCGTGACACCATATATCTATTTTTAATGTGTAAGTCATTACCGCTAAAATAGTGAATCAAAACTATAATATTATTTGATATCTATTTCCAAAATGCACATTTTGTATTAACAAATCATTTTTTATCAAAACAAATACTTTTATCGCTTTTGATATTTAAAGACGATAAACTTTGCTTTTTACACTATGTCATTTCGACAAATATTTAAAAAGTTACAACGATGACAAAGTGATAGCGCGGTGTACTATGTAAAAGAAAAAAAAACGGGGTATTCGCAGTATCTGATCCTACACGAAGTACTAACAATAAAACTGTGATACAGTTCCTTCTTATTAAATGATGAAAAATATATAATCATAATAGGTATTTATGATTATTGAATTTTAATGAAAAACTCAGAATTTTACTGTTTTTCATTTTTTAACGATATTACTTAATGTTACAAAAAAGGTTTACTTAATATAATGAAAAATAACCCATTTTTCGCTAGTAAGTACATACTTATTGGAACCCCTGTATTTATTAATCAGCACGCGATAATATTGGTTTTGTAATAATTCTGCAAAATTCAAAGTAAATAATGTAGATTTTTATAGGTAAATCACCCCTTTCATCACCCTACGCCTATAAGTATTGCGATGTTGTAGCTAAGAACCAAGTTCCCATCTACTTCTATATGGGAATTCATTATATTCGATTTAGCTATTAGGGCACGGAAGCGCAACAAACAAACTCACTTTCGCATCTATAATATTATATTATACTTACTAGTCATCCACCCGGGCGTTGTACGGGCGAAATTTATTTATCGGGATAAAATATAGCCTATGTTACTCGGACAAAATGTATTTAAATAAAGAAAAATGTTATAATAAATAATGTAGCTACCTTATGATGAATTAATATTTGAAACCGGTTCAGTAGTTTAAAGATTATTTGTTACAAACATACAAATCTTGCCTCTTTATAATATTAGTATAGATAGTTAGGATAAGATAAGTATTTAATGATGAAAAAGATTTAAAAATAAAGTAAGTAATAGGTTGTTTTGATTATATTTGTAAAAGTTACTTAGCATTTGTGTTTAACAGTGACACGTTATTCGGTATTTTTTTAAACAAAAAAAAAATTGGAAAATAATTGCCATGATTGCACTACTGGGAGTACTCTTCATTCGAGCTTTACACTACCAAAAAAAGGTAAATTTAAAAAATCAAAAAACCCGACTGCATAATTATTATACTTCAAATAAAAACTGAAAAGAAAAAAACAAGTCCAGTAGTCTATAATTCTGTTAATAAGGAACAAAGCTACTTTAACAGTCGGGACCCATTAGATATTCAAGAATACATAATATTTTTCAACAGTGGGTCCCGACTGTTAAAGTAGCTTTGTTCCTTATTAACAGAATTATAGACTACTGGACTTGTTTTTTTCTTTTCAGTTTTTATTTGAAGTATAATAATTATGCAGTCGGGTTTTTTGATTTTTTAAATTTACCTTTTTTTTACGTCTTCGCTTCCGATAATAATGAATCTTCCTGTACCATGATTTTTACACAAAGGCTTTTCATTTTATTTCATTTCATTACACAAAATAAATATTACGAAAAGTGGCCGAATTCTGGAGTTTGGTCGACTGCGAACAAAAAGGTAATTGCGTTTTGCAAGTGTACAGTATAACGCCAATTATCCGAACGCCGATTAACCGAATCGCCAATTATCCGAATCAGTCCTAAGCGTATTATAAATAATTAAAGCCAATATATATAATTTTAATATTTGTTTTCTTTTGTTGTAACAAGTTTAGATTATCCGAATCGACCCCGGTCCCAATTAATTCGGATAATCGGCGTTCTACTGTACCGGATTCCATGATGAAGATAGTTAAAAACCGTCTTCTCGATGGAAATTATTTGGAGTTGAATAAAAGTTGCGATCGGTGG